AAATGTATGTTATATATGTGTTATATATATTCACATATATATTATATATATATAAAAACCAAAAATATCTGATTAGTTGCCATAAACTCATTTCTTTCCTTCTGCAAGGCAATTAAAAAAAAAAAAATCAAAATTTTAGAGACAAATCATCCTGCTTTCTGCCCAGTTCTGCTTTCAGACTCTTTCAGACTTGTCTCAGAAAAAGTGCAACTAAGAATCACCCGAAGGAAGAGAAAAGATGTTTGGTCTTTCCGAGATGGTTCTGCTGCCTCCTCAAATGTGCAGTGTCTCTATCTCTCTATTCAAAAAACAGGAGGACTCCACCATTAAAAACTTTCTGCTGCGGAAATTGTCAAATTTTCTCAGTCTTACGCCCCTAGTAATTTGGTTCAGATTGGGATTTTTTTGCCAAATTCTTTTTAAAATTACAGACAAAGACAGACAAGCAATGCTGCCAGGAGCATTTTCAGCACAAAGATCTCAATTTTTGACACACTTACCTGGACAACAGGCTCTTTAAGATATCCCCAAAAACATCTGGTTACAATCCCGGGGATGTGCCATTTTAACACAAAATCTTTAGCCCGCACGTGGCCGAGGACGGGCTGCCATTTCGCAGCGCCCACACTCTCTGCAGCGGGACCCCACAGAGGAGCCCCTGCTCCTCACCAAGGGCGATGGACTTAGTCCTCAGGACTAAGAGTTGAGGACTTAGACCTTAGAACTTACTCTAATGCCTAATTTCTTTAATAAAGACGAAAATTGACTTTCTTGAAGACCTAAACCTGAGTTCCTGAAATAGACTCCCTGAGACCTCAGACACATTTCCTGGCCAAATGTTAAGATCTTTCAACGGAGAAAAAACACCCCAACCCTCCGTGGCGCATACCAGAGACCTCTGAGTCCCCAGGGACAAGACACAGCCCAAAATGACGCGCTTAATGCCTGTCCCTGAATAGGCGACAGACCCCAGCCCAGCGCCAAGTCCGAGAAAACCCCAAATCACTAAAAATCGACAAAATGTCACAATTTCGTGGTGGGGAAGGAAAGACCGAGAAGAAGTCGGCGACTCACCTCGGACGGTCAACAGGGTCCCGGCCCCGAATACACCACACAGTGATACAGGGCCATGCAAAAACCTCCTGCCCCATGGGCGGAGCAGTCCTGGGCCCTGTGGGCACAGCAGGATGGAGGCGATGGGATGGAGGTGTCCTGACGGACACAGCAGGATGGAGGTGACAGGATGGAGATGTCCCGATGGACACAGCAGGATGGAGGTGATGGGAGGGAGGTGTTCCGATGGACACAGAAGGCTGCGTGGTGCTGGATCTGCTGTGGTGGATGTGGCAGGGCAGGAGCAGCAGGACAGCCAATACATCCTCCCCAGCTGGAGGGGCCACGGGAAAATGAGGTGGTGTTCTGGGCCCCCCCATCCTGTGTGGGCTGCGTCGGCTGTACTGGCTGGGCTCTCCAGAGCCGTGGCTGTGTTGTTGGCTGCTCCAGAGACCCACTGCTGCCCAGGACCATGAGCCTTGTGCTTGTTATAAGCCCACGTTCCTGCCCATGGCATGGGGACATTAATCCCAGGTGAGGCAGGGCTGGAGGATGCTTTGAGTGTCCCCAAGGTGCAGGAGGCAGCACCTTGTCTCAACCTGCGCTGCTGCCATGCAGGGGGCTGTGGGCTGCCCTGGGGGATACCAGCCACTGTCCTGACACTCCTCAGACCACACTGTGGCTGTGGCCAGGGCGAATGAGGACCACTGGCCATCGCACAGTGCACGTGTGGGTAAACCTCAGGAATAAACCACCAATCCCTCCTTCCCACCGCCCAGAAACGCCAGTGCTGAGATAGGTGCTGTGGTTTCATTGGGAACCTCAGTGCCCAGTGCCCATGCCACCCTGCAGCCTGGCTCCACACTCCAAGGCAAAACCAGACCCCAGCACAGCCCACATCCTTACCTGGGCAAGATTTCTGGTGCCTGGCAGGTGGTCAACCCTCCTTTTGGCAGCTGTGTTGCGTGCCCTGTGCTGGGGCAGCCTGTGGCTGGTGAGCGGTGCAGCCCCTCTGCTGTTGCACTGTGCCGGGGGGCTGGGTGAGGGGCACTGGACCATCCAACCGAGGTAAATAAGGACTTCCTTCTTCACTCCAGGCACCTCAGCGTCAGCAAAGGCACTGGTGCGGGGTTGGTTCTGGTACGGGGGAGTTCAGAGCCCCCTGAGCTAACGCAGCCTTCCAGCCATGACGGGGAGATTGTGCCCCAGGATGCTTGCTCATGATGCCATCGCTGCATCAGTGGGTCATGACTAAAGGCCGAATTCACAAGGGTTTTTATTTCTGTCCTAACAGATCTCAGTGCAGGTCCCAGCCCTTAATGCCCTGCCTGGGTCAGGGTCCCCTCTGAGGGCAGAGGGGAGGGCTAGGGGCATCGGTCAGCGCTGGTGGCTGCAGCGGAGGAGCCCTGGCGGGTGGCTTTCTCCAATTTAATTTAGCTCCCGCCTTTGCTGCAGGAGATCAAGCCACCATTGCCCACAGACCAAATCCAGGGCTGGTGCAGCCCCAGGGCCCGAGATGGCTCCTGCTCCGCTCCCCAAGTGCAACAGAATTTGGGGCAGGAGCCCAGGGAGGGAAGGCAGCCGCCAGCTGGGGACACCCAGCCACAGACCATACGTGGTGAAATGGCCCAGCCCAGCGAGCACAGGATGTGGAGCGAGCAGTTAAGCTCTGACCAACTGGGGCCGTGTTTTGTTTCAGGGTTATGATCATATTTGACCAAGGAGGAAGGACGGGGAGATGTGGATGCAGGTCAGTGCTAGCTGATGGATGATGCCCAGGATGAGGGGACAGGGAGGATGGGAGGGATTCAGGCACGGGGAAAAGGAAGGGCCCGCAGAGACAGCAGAGACTTGCACAGAAGGAGGGGACAGGGATGGGGCAGGTGGTGAAACACTGTGGCAGAGGATGTGATCTTCCAGGGTGAGAGCTCTCCATTCCCCAGGGTTAGGAGCACTTGGATCTCTTCAGGACCTTCTCAGTGGAGCCAGTCTCGTGCGTGTCCTTGCAGGCGTAGGGCTTGTGGCTCTTCCAGTTGGCGGCACTCAGCACCAGGTAGCTGCTGGCCATGTCCTGGTGGTTGCTCTGCCGCCGGGGCTGGCTGGTCTCAGTGCCCTGGTGAGGGCACGGCCATTGGCTGTCCAGGCCACCTGCACGGCGCCGGGGTAGAAGCCCTGCAGCAGACACACCTGGGTGGCTTTGCTCTGCAATGGGACCTTGTCCAAGGACAGCGGGAAGAGGTGGATGGTGGGGGAGACCACGGGCTGGCCTGCGAGGGGGACAGAGCGGTGCGGGGAGGTGGATGTGGAAGGAGGAAGGTCTCTGAAGTGTGGACACAGCTGCGCCCGTGGGGTTTTGGTCCTGGCCGGAGTCTTTCAGTGCAGCTCCTACCATCAGCAAAGGAGCTCACAGCTCAAGGTCTCTGTGGTCAGATTATTTTGTTGACATTCAGCCTAGCCATTGAAACACGCTGCCCTGGAGGGAAGAGGCCCCAGCTGTCCAGAGAACACCCAACGTGCGTGTCTGTGGGATTCCCTGTCACCAGCATCCCACGTCTCGGCCCTGTGCCACGCGGGTGTGTGGCTGCAGCCGAGACTCAGCGATGCTGCTCTCTGGGGGCTGAAGAGGCAGCCATCCTCCTGGGCACCATTCAGACGTGAAGAGACATACGGCAGATGTATTTTCCTTGCACAGGAGTGAGAGAGACAGCAGAGACCTGCAGGTTTGGAGTCTCGGTGCCAGTCTAACAGGGTGCTTGGCTTGGAGCAAACGAGCTCTTGGAGTGCTGAATTTCAACAGCACCAACTGAGACTGAACTTGAAAATATGCAAATACTGTGGTTTGTGCAAGTGGTCATAGAAAGAGGCAGAGTCGGTGAACCTCTGCCACTAGAAAATAAATGATGCTTCGAAGATTTTGTGGTTCAAGGCACTTCCCATTTCAGAGGGGTGGTTTGCCTCGGGGTAGGTTTATGCCTTGGTGCAAAGGCCGCAACAAGCCAAAAAAAAAAAAAAACACCTCTGAAATTTTCTACACAAAGCATTTAGCTGAAGCTGATGCCATCTATTGTGGATAACCAGCTTCTGAGCCTTTCTCAGACTTCCGTGGGGTTTCTGTTCCTTTTTTGAGGAAGACAGTAAAAGGGGACAACATTCAGCTCAGAAGGCCAGCTCTCCTCCTTCCAGGGAGCTACGGAAGAGGATGGGTGCTGTGCTAGACGTACCAGGGCTTTGGCCCTTCAGCATCTGCCTGGCACGCGGCCTCCGTGGGAGTGGGGCAGGTGAGAGGGTGCTGGTCCTGGGGCGGGCACTGGGGAGGCTACACACGACTGCTGTGTCCCAGCTGCCAGGACTGAGCACCGGAGGCCACACCAGGCACCCTCCGCTGCTGCCGCGTGGCTCCTAAACTCATGCCTGGAAGTAAGGGAGAAGGGAAAGGGTGGGATGTGCCGAACAGCCTTGCAGCATGAACCGTCCTGAAACTGCCCTGGCGTGGCTTGTGCAAACATCCGACCCCAGAAACCGTTTCCTTTATGGGTTAAAACCAGCACTGGCCGGGGGAGCAGGTGGGCAGTGCCCAGGGCTCCTGGCACCCCTGGGCAGGGAGGAGGCTGGGGGGGGCATCCAGCAGGGTCCTGGGTGCCAGCTGGGGAGTGCAGGGGAGCTTGGATGCACGGCGTTGGCAGGGATAGGGCAGTTGGGGGTCATCCCTTCCCAAATGACAGGGCGGGAACAGACCTGGGGCTCTAAGGTACAGCCAAGCGGGGACACCAGGCACAGCCGCCTTGCAGCACAGGGCAGCACCATGGCAGGACCTGCCCCACCATCACTGGGGACAGCAGAAACTCCTAACTGGCCCCTGCGATGGCG